TGTGTGTGTGTGTGTGTGCGCGTGTGTGTGCATGTGTGTGCGTGTGTGTGCGCGTGTAAGGGGTGGCATGGAGTCCCTTCCTTACGTGTGTGTGTGTGTGTGCGCGTGTGCGTGTATGTGTGTGTGTGTGTGTGTAAGGGGTGGCATGGAGTCCCTTCCTTACATCACAGCCAGAGCTGTCACCACCCAGATGAGCTGTGGACAATTTGGACAAGGAAGAGTGTAACCTCACAATTTGGGAGAAAGAGAGACACAGGAGACACTTAATTTGAGGGAGCCTGAATGCCTCTTTCCTTTTAGCGCCAGGAAGGGCACAATGGTGGTTCGTTTTCACTCACACCCGGAACTATTTGCAAAGGTCCGGTTTGCATGGAACTGGAGGGCAGGGCAGCAGGTGTGAGCTGGCCTCTCTTGCGAGTGGCGTCAGCACCACGAGGGTCCTTTTTCACTCAAGGAAACAGCAGCAGCATAGCAGTGTGGTGGCTTCCAGAAGCAGGAGCCCGGAAAAGATGGAACCTAGAGAGAGGCCTGCTGAGAGAGACCAGCCGTGGAGCACCACCAACGATGGTGTCCTGGAGAGAGCAGAGAGAGCCTGAGGCCTTGGGGGAATGGCAGGAAGGAACCCATGCTTCCTTCCAGTGTGAACTAGAGGGTCCAAGAGGATGTTCTTGCTGGAGGGATGCTGAAGTCCAGGGAAGCTGGGTAAAGCCAGGTCACTGTGACATCCGGGGGAGCTGTCTTGCTTTCATGCTACTTGTAGTTTGGGACCTTGTGGTTAGGCTGGTCTCCTGGGACTCTCCTGAGAATGCTCTGGGTGTCACCTTTGTCCAGGAGGAGGCTGGGTCCTCATCTTAACATAGGCATGGGAGATGACAGTTACAATATTGGCCTTGTAATAAAACAAACAAACAAAAAAACCCAAAACCTTGCTGAAAAGTTGAAACCAAACACACACATACAGTCACCTGGTCTTGCCAGGCGGCAAGCCTGAAGTGGAGACGGTGCTCAGCTGAGATGCCTGGCTGGATGAACCTCAAGTCATGATGGTGAGGGAAAGAACCCAGGGGTAGCATACCTACCAAGGATGGACGCGCTTGAGGACTCAATTTGGTGTCCGGGGAGCCACAGGCTCTTGGGAGAGGGACCTGGGGTCAGAGTAGTCCGTGGGCTTTTCATCAGAGCATCCTGATGACCCCTTCTGAACTCAGTTCTCTATTAGTCTTAGCCATTCAGTGTCCAGACAAGTCAGTATTTCCATTTTCATGATGCACTTGCGTTGTGAACTCATATGCACGAGACGTAGGACATACATAGTTCCATTGAGGTTTTCTTGAGCCTCTGACCCGGTACCTCCTCCCATACCCCACCTCTCTGTGGAGTAGAGTCCTGTCGAAACAGAGCACCTAATGTTGCATGCCTGGATTCTTCCTGGTGACTCCTGGGACTTAGAGGTAAGAGAAAGAAGGAACAGAAATGTTAGCAACAGTGTTTCAAGACTTCATAAGCAATGTTTGCATTCAGTTAAATAGCATTATCGAGACTTGGCACATTCCCGAACCCGGATTAAGGGGCCAAAAGCAAATTAAAACAGGCAGATGGCACTAAAATGCAGTGTGGGACATGGGAGATGAGGTAACCGGTGGAGAAGCCCACTCTAGACGAGTTAGTGGGGTGTTGGGAAAGAATATGCTTCCAAGTGTGCAGTGAAACAGAGAGGAGCCGGTCAAGGCCGTCTCTTATCACAAAAAGTGTGCCTCAACCCAAACGTGTTGGCAAGCAGTGCAGAGGGCCAAGGTGGACTCCATCTTTTTCCCTTAATGCAAGAGGGAGCTTGGCTTCCTCGATGGCTGAGGTTCAGCCTCACAGTCTACCCTGGACTGGCTAATTTGGAAAGAGGAAAATGGTTAAGTTCCAGGAATGTAGTAAGTTTTACAAGGTAAAGGAGATGAAAAGATTTGAATAAAAATTTTACAAGGTGGGGTAGGTAACTCAGGGAATATTGGCTCTTGGTGGGCTAGCCACCTTTGATAGAAAAAAAAAGCCATTTCTCACAGAGAAACCTTTATTGAACGGGGGAGGGTCTTGAGACAGCAGCTGACTGTGTAGCCCAGGTTGGTTTTGAATTCATGACCAAAGCTGGAGAGTTGGCTCAGTGGTTAACAGCACCCAGGGTTGATTCCCAGCACACACATGGTGGCTCACAACTGTCTGTAACTCCAGTTCCAGGGCATCCGATGGCTCTTCTGGCCTCCATGAGCACCAAGCACATATACACAGTACACGAAAAACACCTCTATAAAAGAAAGAAAGAAAGAAAGAAAGAAAGAAAGAAAGAAAGAAAGAAAGAAAGAAAGAAAGAAAGAAAGAAAGAA